TAAAAGGGCTCGCTTATTGACTTAGAATATGCCGATGACATAGTCCTACTTGGTGAAGACGTTGACAAAATGCAGTCTTCTGACCACCCTAAGCAACAGTGCAAGCATGTTCGTGATGCGGTTCTCATCCTAGAAATGTAAAATTTTGCTTCAAGATTGTCTTGCGCCGTAACCTGAACTTGTGATAGGGGGTGAAGTAGTCGAACGAGTTGACCGCTTCAATTATCTGGGGAGTCTCATCACTGCTGATGACCACGTGACTGACGAAATCTCAGCACGGATACAGAAGGCTAGATCGGCTTTTGCCAACTTGCGTCATTTTTTGCGCTAGCGAGATATCCAACTGTTAACCAGCACAGCAGTTCGCTCTGTCCTACTATATGGATTTGAAACATGCCCGGTGAGAATAGACGACATCAGTAGATTGCTTGTCTTCGATCACAGGTGTCTTCGAAGCATTGCTCGTATATCCTGGGACAACCGAGTAAGCAATGATGTCGATAGGAAACAAGTACTAGGTAGGGATGGCGAATCAGTATATGAGGTGGTGCCGTGTTTTTGTTTGGCAGCTCCTACACCGCAAAACATGGCTCGACGAGGCAGTCGGTGGTTGTGCATACGTAACACATTTCCCAACCACCTCAACTGATGAAAATTCAATTAGTCTTCTATCCCTACCTAGTTAGTACCCGCCTCCTAACTACTGAATTGCTTACTCGATTGTCTCAGGATTCAAGGAATGATTCAAAGGTACCTATGATCAAATACTAGGATCCTACAAATATCCTCTATTCTTTCTGTTCATGTTTTACACCCATATGACTTAACAAATCGATAAGTTGGATTAATTTGTTAAGTACCATTTGTGATAGATTCATAGTGTTCTTTTTGAAGATTCAATATGAAATTATGAGTTTGCTTTTTAAATCGAATAACACATTTAGACATAAACTCGAAAATGTTTACATTTTATTAGATCATTCATTTTTTTCACCACACTGTTATTATGATATTTGTTGCTATGTTGAAGAAATTAAAAAAAAAAAACTGTTATTCAATTTGAAAAAAATAAACAGTAATCAAGAATACTATGGTAACAAGGTTAAAACTGATAAAATATGGGTTTGCACAATATAAGAATTAGAGACAAACAAATCAACAACAGTGAAATGAATTTAGAAAGAAACATAAAGACCAACATTTATGCTTACTTATAGTGTGTGACGAAATCTCACTTACTTTCTTACTTACGCTTGTCACTACCCAATGGAGCACAGGCCACCGACCTGTTTTCTTCAACCTACTATGTCCTGAGTCTACTGTTTCAGTCCTTTCCAATTTCTGTTCATTTTTCTCATGGCCATCTCCATTTCTCAACGTAATGTGTTCCTTCGCCTTCCTCTTTTCCTCCTACTTTGAGGGTTAAAAGTGAGAGCTTGTCTTGTGACGCAGTTGGATGCTTCCCTGAATGTGTTTCCTATCCACTTCCACCTCTTCTTCCTGACTTCCTTCCTCCATTGGAATCTGGTTTGTTCTCTCCCACAGTACGTTGTAGCTGATGGTGTCTGGCCAACGAATCCGAAGTATTTTGCGTAGACAACTGTTAATAAACACTTGTATCTTCTGGATGATGGCTTTTGTAGTTTTCCAAGTTTCCGCTCCATATAGTAGAACTGTCTTGACATTTGTATTGAAAATTGTGACTTTGGTATTTGTTGATAGTTGTTTTGAGTTGAAGATGTTGTTCAATTGCAGAAACGTAGCCCTTGCTTTCCCATGTGCTTGTTTTGACAGCATCAGTGAAACTCCTTGTCTATGTGAAGCATTTTCTCTTTTTAGCCAGAGTATAACAGCAGCTCCCCTGAAGCTAGTCTCACTTGTCCTACCTGCGTCCAATGCTTTTTACTGATGCTGAGCACCTCCAGATAGTATCTTTTCATTTCTGCAGCAACTTGGAATAGTCTTCTGGTCTCCCAAAATGTTCGAGCGTTCCATATACCTTAAAGAATAGTTGCTCTGGTTGTGAGAAGAGGCATCGCCCTTGTGATTTCCGAGAGAACTCAGCTTTCATCGTCATCTTCTTATGAAAGAAAACCTTCCAACTCCCAAGACGGAGTTAAAATGGTTTGAAATATGGTTTCTGGTCAGCATTTTTTTAGCATGTTAGTTTTTTATGGTATGGGGTCGTCAACCTATGCCCAACACTCCTCCTTTATCTGGGACTGGGGCCAGCAGTAGCCCCAGAGGGGCTTCAGGCGGCGTTGACGGAATCCCAGCACGGATAGGAAAAGCTCGACTAAATTCTACCGAATTGGGTCATTTATGGCATAGGAGAGATATCCATCTGCTAAATGAACAACAGTTTGCTCCGTTCTAGCATATGAGTGTAAAACATGAACAGAAAGAATAGAGGATATTTGTAGGATCCGAGTATTTGATCATAGGTACCTTTGAATCATTCCTTGAATCCTGAGACAATCGAGTAAGCAATTCAGTAGTTAGGAGGTGGGTACTAGGTAGGGATAGAAGACTAATTGAATTTTCATCAGTTGAGGTGGTTGGGAAATGTGTTACGTATGCACAACCACCGACTGCCTCGTCGAGCCATGTTTTGCGGTGTAGGAGTAGGTAGGAAGAAAGCTAGGAGCTGCCAAACAAAAACATGGCACACATCCATGAAGTCATTAGCAAACGTATTGAGCCATGTTATTAGATTTACACTACCTGGTTGGGGTCTGCGGGGCATTAGTAACCGATGGTTAGACATTTTGAATGACATGGCCTACATCTACCAACAGACTAAGTCCACTTGTCAGTGACTTCATGGATTTGTGCCATGTTTTTGTTTGGCAGCCAGATAAGTGAAGCGGTCAACACGCTCGCTCCGTCCAAGAATATGGCTGTGAAACATGGCCAGTAATAGTAGAAGATATTCGTAAGTCATTGGTATTCGATTATAGATATCTTTGAAGTATTGCTCGTATATCATGGGACAACCGAGTAAGCAGACCTACAGTTAAGGATCGAGTACCAGGTAAGGATGGTAGACCAATAGATGAAGTATTGAAACTCCATCAGTTGAGGTGGTTCAGACATGTGTTACGAATGCACAACCACCGACTGCCTTGACGAGCTATGCTTTGTGGTTTAGGAGTAGGTTGGGAGAAAGCTGTAGTCTGCCAGACCAAAACATGGCTCAAGTCCATTAAGTCACTGACAAATGGACTGAGTCATGTTGGTAGATGTAGGCTACCTGGTTGGGGTCCGCGAGACGAAAGAAACCGATGGTTAGAGACCTTTAATGGTATGGCTCAAAATCGTTTGAAATGGGACAGGTGCATCCACTCTTTGTGATCTCTTAAATTCTAGTCTTCAGAATTCCTCATCATGTCAATCTTTCTCTTTCTAAAGTTGTCTCACTGAACTATACTTCTTGAATAATATCTTCGATCCCTAATCTTCTCCATAACCGCTAATTATTCTACTATCTCTACCACTATGGAATTCGGACTGACAGTGGCGTCTCTGTGTTAATGTGGTATGGCAACCTGAACTTATGTACTTACGTACAAAGTTCTACGTTTGTAACTGACTGGTTGACTGATAGAAAACGCCATATACTCCATGCTTATTTAGTCATTCAGCTAGAATGTTGAAACTGGTAAGGAAAAGAGTAAAACTCAGCAAGATTAGCTTCATTCACTCCACTATCAATGTTACATGGATGCTTCATTTTATTTCTGAAATAATTTCCTGTTACTACTTTAATCGACATTTCAGAACCTTATATTATTTGCAAATCAGAGCACTGTTTCGAACGACTTCAACTGTAATTTAGGCCTACACTGATTTATACTCATATATATGTTCACATCATGTATTAACGCAATTTATTTCTCTAAGAATCTTTGTATTGGTTTTGTTGAATCTTTCTATTGATGTTTTGTATTACAACAAATCTGTCTCTTTATAGCATATGTGTATCATGTGAGAATGTTTTCGATATTATCTTTAGGTTACAAGCATTATTACCGGAAAGTTTGTTTACCGAAATTATTGTTCTTGCTATTTCCATATGGATAATTTATTTTGCCCTATTGATTATAATGTGGTTAGTTGGTCGATGATTATTGATTTTTGTAAATCCTAGAAGTCAACTGTGTCAGCGTAACGAATGAACTTTTTGATGTAGTAGCAGATTCTGAACATATCCTATACACCATCCAAACGATCGACTGTTAGGGAATGATTTAGGGACGAATTCAAATCAATCACATTACAGCATTTCAGAGGCATATTAGAGGTCCAATTTACATTGCTACCACTACTATTATTACTACTAGCATAAACTTTATATTCAGGTCAAAATGAAGTTGATGATAATACACGAATAATTTTGGCCAGACATTTCAATTTGAATAAGACATAAACACGATTCTAAGGTAGGAAATAAACATAAAATGGGAAGGAATCCAACAGAACATTGTTTTAATAATACTGTATGTGTATATATCAAAGCTTTTCACACAATGTGTGTTTTTTTTGCAGGACGTAATGAGCCCAATGATTAAAAAATATGAAATTAACCAATCAAAATTATGCGAATATGTAGTTTTCTAACTATACAAATATGTATATGATCAAATAACTCGCATGCATACACAACACACACACATACAAACATGATAAAAATGTGGTAGGAATACAATTCTATTTTGTCCTTTAACAATCACATATCGATCAGATAAAGAGAGAGAGAGAGAGATAGAGTTTGATTTTCCACATTCCTTTTATTGGTGGTGAAGATATAGAGAGAGACACATACGTGCATTTACTACTACACTAGTAGTAGTAGTAGTAGTATAGTAGTAGTAGACACACATACAACAGCCCAAGAGATTTTTTTCTATTCTATTTTGGTTAGAATCTCTGCCTACTTATTTAATAATATAAATAGCTTGGTCCAGAAAATTTTTAGGAGATTCTAATGCGCGCACACACACACACATACAAAAACCTCCATATGTTGTATATCAGTGTATCAGTCCATAGTTTGATACACCAATGTTAGACAGGTTGCATTGGTTGAAAGTACGACGTCATTCATTCTCCCATTGTATAGTTTGTGAGTAAGCCTAGATTATAACGGTTAAACATAGACTATAATCTCTCAATTGCGAAAACAACACTCTTGTCTTTATTCCTGGAATCGATAACATTTCAATAATAGTTAGGAGCAACCAACATCTCCTTCTAGATTCATATTTCGTGAAAGGAATTGTATTTTATTCTTGTATTTTTTTACTGTATTAACATAAAGCATTGCGATATACATATATCGGATATTAATTATCATTCCTACAAAAATTTATACATAATACCCTAATTATCATAAAATGGGTTGTACACTGTCTAAAGAAGAGCGTGATGCTCTTGAACAAAGTCGAAATATCGATAAAAAACTTAAAGAAGATGGTATGCAAGCTGCAAAAGATGTGAAACTACTACTTTTGGGTGAGTTATTTATCATTGATTGTTATTATGTTTTTTTAAAGACACTTTTATCCTTATTTTAATGTACATTATTTTTGTACTTTTTTTCTGTAAAATTTATTGATATATAGCTGTTCTAGAGTATACACTACCGATAAGCTTTGGTAATGAAATGAGTTGTTCTCGAGTGGAAGCTTGCCTTTTATAGTGAAATTCTCTTGTTTTCGAACAACAAGAAGTGTGTCACACTCATATGAATTTGAGATGGTGGGGAAAATTCGTTGCTCAGGTGGAGTTTCGTTCTTTGATCTTCGCCACAAGCTTTCATAATAGTTATTGGTTAGATCACTACTGTTTGATTGTTTTTCCGAATAAAATTAAGCGCGAGGTTTGTGCGTAAAACGTTAGGATTATCCCAGTTTATCTAAACTCTATATCATTTCATAAACAAAGAAATGTAGATGTTTAAATATTACCTTGAACAGGACTCCCACAAGAGGAATATTTGGGATCACTAAAGAGAGAACGATCCATCTTCATTGTCCTTTGTTAGTGTCAGTCAGTCAGTCAGTCAGTTGCAACGTAGAACTTCGTACGTAAGTACATCAGTTCATGTCGCCATACCACATCAGCACAGAGATGTAATTGTCAATTCAAATCCAATAGTAGAAGAGGTAGTAAAGGTATTAGAAGTAATCGGAGAGGTTAGGATTAGAAGATATTATTCAAGAAGTATGATTAAATGAGAAAAGTTTAGAAAGTCAAAACTAGAGGTGTTGAAGAATCCAGAAGATTAGGATTTGAGAGAACACAAAGAATAAATGCACCGGCGCCATTGCGAACGATTTTGAGCCATGTCATTCAAGGTCTCTAACCATCGATTATTATCATCTCGAGGACCCCAACCAGGTAGTCGACAATTACCGACATGGATCAGTCCACTCGTCAATGACTTCATGGATTTGTGCCATGTTTTGGTCTGGCCGCCCCTAACTTTCTTCCAACCTACTCCTACACTACAAAACAAAGCTCGACGAGGCAGTCGGTGGTTAGGCATACGCAACACATATCCCAACCACCTCAACTGATGAAGTTTCACCACTTCATCGATTGATCTGCCATTCTTACCTAGCACCCGTTTCCTAATAACAGCGTTGCTCACTCGGGTGTCCCAGGATATACGAGCAATGCTTCGAAGACACCTATGATCGAAAACCAATAACCGACGAGTATCTTCTGCTCTCATTGGCCATAGTGTAATATTATTATGATTGTTATTTTTTCGACACCATCGCAATCATACAACTCAGTGAAACTTTTCGATAGTGTCAATTTTAAATGTTTTTTTTTTTAATTTTCACTAAGCGTACAATTTATTAACCATTCCATGTAGACTGCAACCATATAGTCCGCATCAACTATTCGCAGCCTCATAAACTGATGTCACGTTTTAGTTTGACCCCTCTTTGTTTTTTCTAACTTACTACTACTCCATCGAATACAGTTTTTTTTTTTAAATTAAAAGTATGTTCAGCCGGGACTTGGGCTTATTACGTGTTGGTTGGGAGCTTTAAATACTAAATCAGTCTGACACATAACAGTGAGTATAAGTATACGAGAATATAATGGAGATAGTCTTAATTTCTTTCGAAACTACATCTTACTGTATGTAAATAATACAGTATAAGGTAATTCTTACTAGACTAATCACTTTACTTACATCTGGTCACATAAATGTAGTTATGAAGGCATAAAAAGGGGTATTACAGAAGGCCAATTCACCAAAAACATTTCCAGGGTTAAGAAATTAGTGACATTAAACAAAGAAACTCATTTAATAATTTATCCCATTTAAAATTAAATGACATATTCTAAATACTATCCTATTATACTATTTGTTTAAGTTATCTATTCTGTTACGTTTTTGTAACCGGCTGATGTTAGTCCTAATTTCAATTTATTTAATATGATTTGTTTAGTTTAGGATTAATAGCACTATCTTAAGGGAAAATTCAGTTTTGTTCTAGTCACAGTAGGATGGACGTAATTACAATTACCTACTTTAAAATGAGTAAGCGATCATCCAAAGACAACCTGTTTAAATGTAACATATGATTGGTTTACAGAGTTAATATTTAATCCTTTAGAAATGTCAGTCAGCCTTAATAAACATTGAGGCAGACACAAATATGCGTTAGCCGAACTTGTACCACGTTTGCATGATGAAATGAAATTCATAAAATGAATAATGATGGACTTGAAATAATCTAGTAGTACTTATACTAAGCAAGACTAATCATGGAGAATATAGTTCTGGCATATAGAATATCCATAAAAGTTGTGTATTCAGAATTAGTTACTGATAGATGGTGTTTATATCAAAACTCGTTGTTGAGTACTAAGAGTTGCGAAACTTTAGTTTAACGCTACTCACTACTATCCAACGCAAAATAAAGTTATTAATGAAGCAAAACTGTAACTCCTAAATCCCAAATCGCCGGATGATCAGTTAGACACTGCTGCAACTTATGTATTAGGTATGTCTACATAAATATGAATATGATTTCATCATATTCCAAATAAGATCTCAGTGAAATTTCACGCTAGGCTATAATACTGATATGCTTTCTGATGTCTACAACGTCAGTCAGTCAGCAAAAACGTGGAACTTCGTACGTACATACCACCAGTCTAAGATACCATACCATATTAGCACAGAGATGCCATTGTCAATTCAAATCCCATAGTGGTACAGGTAGTAGAAGTATAAGCAATAATTGGAATGATTGGGGTTCGAAGAAATTATTCAAGATGTATAATCCATTGAAATAAACGTAAAAAGAAAAAAGATAAATGTATGCCACGTAACTGTATGAAGTCGAATTTTTCATATATCCTGGCAATACATGAGAAAATTAATCCTGCTTCCTGAGCTTCTAGTTACACATATTCTTTACCTTAGGCAAATTTTCATAATGTAGAGCAAGCTTCAAACACTGTCAAGTACCTGAAATAGTGAATTTTATAGAATCTAGTGTTATCCATATTACAATCTCTTCTATACTGATTTACACGTCATGTTCTGTAATTATTATCAGCGTCACTATTACTTTGTTTTTTCATCTTCCTGATATTTGCCCAACTGTTGTGATTTAGGTTGTACTACTTTTTAAACTATACAAGGATTGTCTTCAGTAATCAATAATAACTAGTGATAATAATAATAATAACAATAATAAATATACTGTAATTGTCAGTCTTTATCTCAGTCACTTGCATATTAATAATCTTGTTTTCAGAGATGTTCACTCTTTTAAATGAGTAATTTTGCATTTTTTTCGTTACTGCATCAGTATAGTGATAAATTCATTTCGTTATATTTTCTACTCGTTCTTTTACATAAGGAAATAACTGCAACTATCCTAAGCTGTATTAAAGTTTTTGTGAATAATATCTTTTAATCCTAACCTCTCCGACTACTGCTAATACCTCTACTACTATTGGATTTGAATTGACAGTTATATCTCTGTGCTAACGTGGTATGGCAACATGAACTGATGTACGTACGTACGTACGTACGAAGTTCTATGTTGCTATTGATTGTTTGATTGATCTAGTAAAGTTATTTTCAGTTTAGTTTTTGTTTTCGATGTTTTTTTGAAGATATCTGGGTAAATTTCAGTGGTAACGGTGTCCATGTTCTTCGCATGACTTCATCTATGAAATGGTTAATTGTATTTTCCTTGAAGTGGTCAAATTAATTGTCTTATCTTTATTGTAAACCAAGTACAAGTTTTGGCGGAATATCAGACATTAAATTGTGTGGTACAAAAAAATGAAGCAATAAAAAATATATGACCATTGTTGTGCATACATCATGCCACAAATTTGAAGTCAACCAATATCTTTTGGTAATATATATCATGTTTGTGATTATGTCAAACAGAGTTAATATTCTGTTTTAAAAAATCTAATTATAGTGGCATGCATTTTAGAGAAAAAACAACCTTATTACTAATTTCTTGTCATCGTGTTGTAGTACACTTGCACGCTTGTACGTCATAAAAATAATTACAAAAGTAATTGAGTTTAGGAAATTTTTCAATCGTGAATTGTACACAGAAGACCGGCGGATTTAGTTTATTCATCATTGGTAAAATACTTTCTTGATGGATCAGTTGACACTGATTTGTAATTGATTTCTCTTCCTGTCGGCGAATTACTTCGTTCATACACCTATTTTTAAGGCATATTTACAGAAATGTTAAAACTGTTTTACGATTGAGTGTTTTCTTCATACGCTGACGATTCTGTTTTCTTTTTCCAAGTTTTATTTGTCTCGCTATCCTTACTTATCCATTGCAAACATCGGACACCTTGACAATACTTCTGTTCACCTAGTAATTATGTAATCTTTCAGTTGGATCGACTCATGTTTCAATATTTTGTCTAAGCACTTAGTTATTGGTACGTACGGGCATCAAATATTTTTGCACCACACAAACCAATGAGTTTGAATGTGGGTTGAGATACTATTCGGGTGCGCAAGCCGAATCAGCAGGTTTTCTTAGGGGTCCCAAAGCTTTGACCCAGAGGTCTTATTCACAAGGCAGTAGAATAACATTAGGAAATGCAGTTCCATGTGGTAGCCGGCGACTAACTGTAGATTTATATGCCGTTTCTTCTCTCAGGATCATGGAGCCCATAGGCACTGCTGATTCAAAATCAGTTTTCAATATTGTCTTGAATTATTACTATTTGCATGAATCCTATACATTTATTGCCTTTTATAAAACATGCCAGCATCTGATGGTTATTGATTTGACCAGTTAACAGAAAACTGTGAGAAACATTTCTCTATGTTTTTCTAGCTTTATTATCTTTAACCCTTAAGCAATGAATCTGACTTTCAGTTCAATCTATAAGCTTACGGATTTGACGACAAGACGGATATTTTCTCTATTTCACTATTACTATCATACTATAATGGGACTGGGGAATGAGATTTCGCTACGACTCGA